GGCTGGAGATTTTGACATATATTGTTACAGCTGGAGATTTTGACATGTATATTGTTACAGCTGGAGATTTTGACATGTATATTGTTACAGCTGGAGATTTTGACATGTATATTGTTACAGCTGGAGATTTTGACATATATATTGTTACAGCTGGAGAGTTTGACATATATATTGTTACAGCTGGAGATTTTGACATATATATTGTTACAGCTGGAGATTTTGACATGTATATTGTTATAGCTGGAGATTTGGATATGTATATTGTTACAGCTGGAGATTCTGACTTGAGTATTATTGCAGGTTGTTTTAAAGAGTTTCTGTGTTTTTGTTGGTATGGGTAGAGAATTTATTCTGTGTTTTTGTTGGTATGGGTAGAGAATTTATTCTGTGTACTTTTATGTGCAGAGATATGATTACTTTCTATTTTATGTTTGAGTGTGTGTTTTTTGAGTAGATATTTTATATCTGTGTGTTGTTTTGGGTGGAATTTCTATGTTTGAGTGTTTTATAGGTAGAGATTATTCTTGCTTGTTTAAGAGGTAGTGAATCTATATTCTTGTTTCGTTATGTGTAGAAATTTAGGGTCTATTTTGATATTACCACTAGATATAAGTGTTTGTCTATATGTTGGTTTTGGTATATATTCTGTATTTATGTGTATGTTAAGGTAGAAGTTATTTCTCTTTGTGTCATTATAAGTACAGATTCTTTTCCTTTGTGTTACATAAAGAAACTATTTATGTGCACTGTTACAAGTAGAGGTTTCATTTATGTTTTTATACATCTAGTGGTCCTTTCTGTATTGTTATACATGTATATTTTGTGTGTATATTGTTACAAATAGAAATTCCCTCTCTTGTTACATAGAGAGGTTCTCCCTCTGTTGTTTTCTTCTGTTAGAAGTTCTGTGTTTTTTACATGTAAAGATTCTATCCCTGTAAACTCTAGAGAATATATTTCTGTATGTAGAAACTTTGTATGTTTGTATTTATAAAGATTCTACTTGTATATATTCTTTGTACCTAGAGTTTTTATTTTTATTATAGGAAGTGATTTTAAGTATTATTATTATTATTATAGCTAAAAAGTTTGTATGTATTCTAATATTTGTGGAACTATTTGTTTTGGAATCAAAAGTGGGAGTGTTTGAAGAAGTTAATTTGAGATCATGTTTTTCCTTGAATATACTTATTTATCATTTTGAACTTCTGTATATATTAAGTGAGGATTATCGTACATACTGAAACAAAAAATTCTTCTTCCTACAATACAATTTGTTTAGGAGTATTTACAGGATCTTGTGGAATATTTTTCTTTAGGAAAACAAGAAATATGGCTACTCTTCAGCTTGCTGACAGCCAGATTCACATGTTAGTGTTATCAGGTCCTGATTGTAATGCTCTTTGTTTAGCATTTCTTATTCTATATATTTTTAAGAAACCAGAAAGAAGCTACAGCTTCTTCTTCAGTTTGTTGATAGCCTCATTGAGTAAGGTCATGCCTTTGCTATCTGAGTTTGGCATGTTGCTTTTTTGTTAATAGCTCTTGTTCAATTGATTCCTTTAGGAAACTAGAGAGAAGGTGCGGCTTCTTCTTCAACTCGCTGATAATCTGGTTGAGCGAGGTCATGCTCATGCAAGTGCTATCAGAGCTTGGGTGTCAGCTGTGGACAACAGGTACAAAGATTTTAGTGATCGCATGGACAAGTATCGTGCACAACTGGAACAGAAGCTAGGTCTGAAAACTGAGGTGAGTTTATAAAGTATATACGAGTCTTGAGTAACTTCAGCTGAAGTCCAGTGCTTCAAAATATTTCTTTAACCTGAATATTTATGAGGTTTTATTGTCATCCAGTGCAACAGAACAAACAGTGACTCTGAACTTAGTAAGATACCATAACATGAATATGAATACTGAGGTACTTATGGTAAATAGAGCCAGTGATTGTTCACAGTTAATACTGTCCATGTGTATGACAAAGTTCAAAACAGATTCTATCTTTGTTAAGACACAAGTATACTACACAGTGCAGTGGCAGTTTCCTTCATATGTGAGTCGTCTGCCATCATTTGAACTTCCATATTTGCACATGCCTCCTGCTCTTGCAATCTTTTCATTACAAACCCTACAGTCACAAATGGTTTCAGTGAACACTGGAAGGTGTTCCACATTTTTCAGTTTCCGAGCATTATGTGGATCTTCAATTGATGCCCTACCAGTTCGTTTCCAAAAGGTTTTGCTGCCAATAAGCCTTTTGCAATACTACTGTCATGCCAACTATTGTCAGGAAAACTAACTGTGCTTTTTCAAGCTCAGCAAAAACTGCAACCAAATGAAATGAGCAGTGAAAGGGTTAATGAATATTATTTTCTGTGCAACTATTTAATATTGTAAATTTATTTAATATGTTAGTAGTGACATGGTAATATTATGCAGCATTGAAAGTAGAATGCCGTAAAGCTTTGGAGTAAAATCAAGATAACATGTATCTTGTTTTTTTAATGGGAGAATGTTAATTGTTGTTACTAATCAGACATATAGGCTCCTTAGTAATAACATGATAATTTTACTTTAAAAGGGAGAAAGTCGGGACTTGTCACTAGACAGACATAGTGACCCTTCACTTGAAGCTAAGGTAAAGGAAGCAGCTGCTAAAGAATTGAATGAAGAAAAAAGAAAGTCAGCAAGAAGAAAGGAGTAGGTTTTAATTTTATTAATTCATTTGCTAACAAAGAGATAAGAATTTTATGATTGAAAGTCTTCTCTATTCACAAGTTTGAAGATTTTCTATTTGCTTTCTTTCTGTTATTTTCAGTACTTACTGTAGATTAAAAGGATCAGATCTAACTTGCTTTATTTATTTTGGATAGCTAATCTACAAAGATAATTTTCACAATCATTGTAGGGTGCAACTACTTTCCTTACATTACTTTAAAACTCCGGTCTATTGTTTTCCAGGGTTATAATGTTTGGTTTAAAAATCCATTTCTGTTATCATTGAAATTCATTATTAATCTCTAAAGGTCCATTTATTACTTTCCAGGTTTGTTATTACAGATATAAAAATGTTTACTATGGTAGGTTTTAAAAAATTGAGTTTTTTTTATTTTACATAGTAATGATGGCTAGTTTTATTGTATATGTTGCTATTTTTCAGGGTTAATATGAATGGTTTAAACATTCAGACCATTATTTTTCAGGTTTAAGAGTCCATTCTGTTGTATATTATGTTTATTATGGATGGCTTAAAAGTCCTATCTCTTATTTTTCTTGCTATTATAACAAGTTATAAAGTCTAGTATGTTTATTTTTCAGATTTGTCATGTTAGGTTTAAAAATCTACTAAGTTATTTTACAAGTTTATTATGGCAAGTTCATAGAATTACATTGCTATTTTTTAGGCTTTTATGTGTTAAAAACAAATTCAGTCTATAATATTTGTAGGATTATTATAGCTGATTTAATAGTACAGTGTGTTATTTTTCAGGGTTTTGATGTCTAGTTTTATGGTACTGTTTGTAATTTTCCAAACATATTATTAAATGCGTGGAAATCCGCTCTCTTGTTTTCCATGCATAGTTTGTAAGTATGACATGTTTAAAATTCTAGTCTGTTGTTTTCCAGGCTTACTATGGCACGTTTAAAAATGTAGTCTGTTGTTTTCTAGGTTTATTATGTGTGTTTAAAAATACTATCTACTGTTTTTCAGGATTTCTACAATATGTTTAAAAATAGTCTGTTATTTTCCAGCCTTTCTGTAAAATGTTTAAAAGTTCATAATTCGATATTTTTCAGTTGTTTTATAGCAGGTTTTAAAGTCCATTCATGTGTATTTCAGGTTTATTATGGCTGAACTATTACATACAGAAAGAACATATGTTAAGGACCTAGACATGTGTATTAAAACTTACCTTGCTGAGATGAGGAAAAGTGAAAACACTGTTCCTCAAGGAATCTGGGGAAAAGATCATGTGTTGTTTGGAAACATGGAAGCAATATATGAATTCCACAATAGGTAGTTCTACTTTTGTTGACTTTATTATGTATGGTTATAAAGAATATAATACTAAAATACTTCTTTAGTTATATGTTTGTACTGATTTACTTTGTAATGCTAGAGGAAGCATAATACTAACCTTAACCATTATCTGACAACAGTCTGTGTGTGTCCACTTATAACTGATGAACTGCTGGACTGATTCTTACCAAATCTAGCATGTACAAGATTAGGGTCCTTGGGGAGTGTTACTCCCAGTGAGCCCCATGTGTTGAATGGGTAGTGTCAACGGTATGTCAACTAGATTATTATTTTGTAGGTTTTTCCTGCTTCAACTTTAGCATTAATATTCAGGAAAGATGATTTCAGACACAGCAATGTTAGTAGTGCTGCCAGTATTTTTAAACTATGATATTTTGTCTTAATTGCTTTCTAAAAATATCACAAGAGTGTTTTTATTCCATGAACAATTAAACCTATCTAAAATGTTATGTGTAATGATGTATTGTTAGGAACAAGTTTTATCCTATTATTCATGCACGAATGAGTTGAAGGAGGTATCTTCATCTATTTGGCCTTTCCTTCAAACTTTTAACAGTTGGGAGACATAGCCATAGAGAGGGCCATACAGAAGCACGGATAGACAATGATAAATCTCCTTACAATAGTTAATTATATATATTGGAAATTGACACAAATTCTAAATGTTTTTAACTTTTTTTTTAAATTCTTTTCTCTGAAAACACAGTGTGGAAGTATTGGGTTAAATTATCACTTTGGGCAGCAATGAATATTTTAATTTATGCTGTTTCATAGTGGATTGAAGCTTAAAGTGTTTTCTAATTTATTTGGGATAATAGTTGATCAAAGTAATCCATATCATTTTCCTTAGGTTTGGATATACTGAATTTTTTTTTATCAGTCCCACCAGAATTTCTGAGTTTATTTCATTTGCTTTGAAGTGTTACTTACTCATCATCAAGCCTCTCTATAATTAGTCCTAAATAAAAGGGAAATATGCATTATTTTGATTTGTATCTTTCTAAGAACCTATTTATTATTTTTTCAAAATTTTAACAATACATTCACAACAAAACTATGCAAGTACTTACAGGGTTTAATAGGTTCTTTTTTTTTGTATTTTGAGCCTAGTAGGTAGTTAGTCTGAGAGTTTGATATATGCATAACTTTGAAAAAATTGCACTTGGTGCCTTGGAAACATAGGTACGATATAAGTGCAAGTCAAATCCCACTATTCGATTGGAATAGCCCAAGATTTGGCAGTAGGTGCTGTTCACATATTATCTTCCTTCTAGTTTATCAATTCAATATTATGAATAGCTAGCACAGATAGCTCTTGTGTAGCTTTGCATGAAAATCCAGAACAAACCATTCTTTTTTTGTGTGTATTTTAACAAAAGTGCTAGAAAAAATATTTTGTGGTAAAGATTTATGTGTATAATATTTAATTATGTTACTTTGATTAAGTGTGACACCAGCTTTTTCTATCCAACTTATAGTACATTCCTGAAAGAACTTGAGAAGTACGAAACAATGCCAGAAGATGTAGGACATTGCTTTGTTACCTGGGTATGTTCTAAAGTTCTCCTTCATCTGTTAGTCTTAACATCTCTCACCTAACTAAGAACTAGGTACATTTGAACCTTTCTTATATCAGTATAAATTCCACCTGTATATTACTAAACCTGCTTTTAACTCTCAACCTCGTAACTATCATATAACCAAAAAGTAACCATGAAAGTATGCATACTATAACTTTTAATGTAGTAAGTGTTTATTCACAGTATTTGGCAATTTTTTATTAAATATGTAAAGTCTTTTGTACATAAAAAATCAGATCTTTTAACTAAGTATTTATACAAAAGATTTGTCTGTTAACATATTAATATACAGAATCAGTGTGTGATTCATGCAGACTTGGTCAATTTGTAACCACCACAAAAAATGCCAAATAAATCTAAATTATATTTTTTCTTTCTAGAATTATTGCAGGTTGTAACAGAAAATTACAATTATTTGTCCTACACTGCTTAAGACCCATTACATTTTAAATCTGGTTTTATTTTAATTTATTATTTTATGTCTGTTTAAACTCTACCTAACTAATAATCCTGCGATACAAGCTGTAAATCACACAGTGAACATGTAACTAAAGTTATGGTATTGAATGAGGTAATGCACAATCTAATTGTGAGCATACTTCATGGAGAAATTTTTTATTTCATTTTCTAACATAATAAGTTTTTGCTTTTTAACATTTACTTTTATAACAATAAATAAAAATATTAATAAAAAAAGATAAGTTTAGTACTTACACTTGTCTTCTTGTATTGTTTGCCGTTGGCTCACCAATGAAACTTAAGCTTACTTTTTTTTCTATTGGCGCTACTAGTACATCGTATAATTTTAATTTTTCTCAAGTATGCACATAAAAACACAAAATAATAACATGCACAAAGCAAACAATGTCCTATAACTATTATAACTGGCTTTCTAACTAAGGCATAAGTACCTTAAAATAACTCTCTTAATTGTTTTATCTGCACTCATGATAGTAGTTTTGAATCTGTAGACAAAATAATTTAAAATGTCTCTTGAGAACAAGGTAGTATTTTGTTTCATTCAGTAAATCAAAACTATATCTTTCTATTGGTTATAAGTGATATAATAACAAATGTCAGAGAAAATTATTGGCAATTTGTGAAAGAAAGGATGTGATAAGTGGGAGTGGAAAGTGGGTTTGACTTTCTTGTTTATATATCTGTAAACAAAGAATATTAAATACTATAGAAATGATACTATGCCTTAGTAATATCTATACTGTTATGAGTAATTTACATTGAATTCAGGATATCAGAGAGGGGTGATGAAAATATAGAAAATGGGCAAGTCAGAGCGAACACCTGTCATGTTATACAAAAAAGGGGAGATTGAGATTTTATTTAATTTTTTCGTTTTGAAAATATGAAACTAAAACATATATAATGTTGAAATTTGATTTATTAACTACATTTTGATGCAAAGTTTATTTATATAATAATGAAGTAGTTGAATTAACTTTTAAATGTAACTGGAAAAAGTCGTGACATAGCGCACTTACTTATCGATATCGAAAGTATTAATCATGTTTTATGTTTTTGTGGTACTATTTCTGAAAAATGCAGTTATAAAAATATTCTCACTAAAATTAAGTTACAATGAATACCGTTATTAGATTAAGAATGTTTTAGGCACATTGGATTTTATTGTTATTTTTATGTTTCCTTTATCCTTTCTTGTTATTCCACTTTTTGAATATTACACTGTGTATTTCTTTTTCAAACTTTTCACATCATTTGAAGTTTTTTGTGTACAAATGCCAAGTTGCAAGTTCTTTAATGGGTGTATTTTAAAATTATCAATAATATGATAAATCTCAAAACGTTGAAAAACTAGTAATCCAAAAACTTTTAAAGCATTCTTTATTTACATAGAAACCAATATTTAATATAGTATGATCACTGTTAACTGGTTAAAATTAGTTTTTGGAGCATTTGCCCACACGTTAACAATGTATAACTTGAGTATTTTTAATTTGTTCTATTACATATTTTTAGCACTATTGAACTGTTTTTAGAAGAAATCCATTATGTTTGCTAAATAACATTTTGTTTTTTTACAGGCTCAGAAATTTGAGGTGTATGTAAAATATTGTAAGAATAAGCCAGAGTCTAATTCTCTGCTTGTTCACCATGCTGGCAACTTTTTTGAGGTAAGTGTACCAGTAGTGTATTTATAGAACTTCAGAAATCTTTTGTTACATAGCAACAGTAGGTCTTATTTAAAGTAACTGTTGAATTGCAATAGCAGTGTTGGTTTCTTTCTCTCATCCGTGGTTGTTATTGTTAACTTAGGTTCTTTAACTTAACTGTTTTTTATATACAGGACTGTTACTAGATGTTACTATTTGCCAGTTTTTATTAATATAAATTTTTTAACAGTAAAAATTGTTGATTGTCTGCTTTTCATACAACAATAAATGACCATTTTTAGACATTTTATAACTGTTAATTAACATTATAGTGTATGTTAAGAATATAAAGGTAATAATTAACAAAGGTGTTGCGACTTGTTCTCTGAATTTCTTCAGAATGATTGACAGCTAGAGGTAAGAAGAAATATTAACATAATTGTCTGTTGTTAGAAATTATTATATCTCTCTTACTACACAGCATAGCATTTTAATTATAAGGCAGTATTATTTGTCAGTGCACAAAGTTATTTGTGTGCAACTTCTAGACAGTATTATACATGTTACTAGACAGAATGTAATAGCCTGTTGCTTTGATTCACTATAGCAATTCACAGGATTTTGTGTAATTTTTGCCCTGTTGTTTTATCCTTACACAGGAATCAAAAGTAGAAGGAAATCAACTTTTTAATTCCATTATTAAATTTTTGTCACTTAGGAGATACAACATCGTCACTGTGTGCCTCACCGCATTGCAGATTATCTTATCAAACCTGTCCAGCGAATAACAAAATATCAGCTGTTGCTAAAAGATCTACTTTCCTGTTGTGAAGAAGGACAAGGAGAAATAAAGGTTAATATCAAGATTTAATGTTTGATAAAGAGAAAAAAAATTATTATAAGTATCATAGATATTAAGTAATGCCATAAATAGTGTAAAGTCCTGGGGTGAATATTTAGGTTAGGTCAACAGTGTAAGGAGAAATATTTATACCAGCAGTATGATAGGAATTACATAAATATATTTAGATTAGGTTAACAGTGTAAAGAGAAATATTCATACCAGCAGTATGATAGGAATTACATAAATATATTTAGATTAGGTTAACAGTGTAAAGAGAAATATTCATACCAGCAGTATGATAGGAATTACATAAATATATTTAGATTAGGTTAACAGTGTAAAGAGAAATATTCATACCAGCAGTATGATAGGAATTACATAAATATATTTAGATTAGGTCAATAGTGTAAGAAGAAATATTCATACCAGCAGTATGATAGGAATTGCATAAATACCAGAATAGCAGAGGAAATATTTAGGAAATATATATATATATAAGGTAAGTGCTTGTGCTAGTAGTATGAATGATAAATGTTTGAACTAGCAGTATGGTGAAATGTTTTCAAAGGCAATATTCAGGCTGGCAGTATAAAGGAGATGTGTTTGGGCTACCAATATGATGGAAAATCTTTGTAAAACCTGTGTGATGGAGGAAATGTTCATATCAGCACTATGACAGTGAAAATGTTGAGTTTAATATTGTGATGTGAATGTTTTGGATTAACAGTGTGATAGAGTAAACATTCACACCAGCGGTATGACAGTTGAGATGTTTCTGTCAATACTGTGGAGGGAAAGCTGTGAACCAGTAGTGTTAAATGTGAAATTTTTTTTGACAAGTAGTACAGTAGAAGGAATATTTGAGCTAACAGTGTAATAAATGAAGTGTTATGAAAGAGACATGATTAGAAATGTTTAGGCCAACAATATGATGTTAAGTTAGAACAAGAAAAAAAAAATAATGATTTTTATATCAGAGGAATACAATGGAAGTATTTCAATGTGAAGTAAAACAGATAGAGACAAAGTTTGGTGTTTTGACCAATGATGAACCAAATGAATGAAGTGTTTGGTTCAGAAGTGAAAAGTTATGTGTTGATTTGAGGTTTGATAAAGAGTTCAATAAGGTTTTTAGCAATGAGATTAACAGTAAACATATGTTTTGATTGAAAGATTGAGGTAATTGTTTTGAATAGAGAACACTGTAGATGCTGGGATCACAGAATAACATATATTATGTAATTGGATCAGCCTGTATACAGTGAAAACCGTAATAAATGATTAGGTAATTTACAGGTTGGATCACAGAAAAAAAAAATGTGAAATTTATGTACCATTACATGATTAAACCAGATAATATATTGGAAATAATATAGTTGATGGTTGTTTTAAAAGACTTAAAGGGAATATTAAAGCCTATGTCTTAAACTATAGCAGTTGAAGAAATAAACTGATATTAAACAAATGTGGAAAGGAAAGAGTTATTTTAAAATCTACAAGACCATTTTCAAAATGGAGCGAGACAAAGGTTTAGAAAGAGATACTCAAAGAAAACTTTGCCTCTGAGTTAATTAGTCAGTTAGTACTGATATATTGAAGATGCTTGTGAACATTATGATTGTGAATATTTTAAATATATTTTATGAAATTATCATTGAGCTAGAAAATAAATCAATTATTGTTTTGGAAGTCTCATGTAATATATTGGCCTCATCTTCCTTAGTAGAAACTCAGCTTTTCTTACTTTTTTTATTTTCTAGGATGGTTTGGATGTAATGCTGAATGTACCTAAGAAAGCCAATGATGCTATGCACCTCAGTATGTTGGATGGTTGTGATGTAAGTATACTTATTCATTGTAATATTAACCCTTTCACTGCTCAGGTGGGTCAGAAAACTCCCCACCCCATGTTTATTTACCTTACGAAATCATAGCATGCAAAAGTAAAGTCATATAGTGACCTCTGTGTAGGCCTGGTGGTATGCTGAGTGAGGAGGGAGTAGGGGGTCCATCAGATCTGGGGTGACCCTTACTGACCATGAGATAATATGGGAATGGCGAGGAGGAGTTATCTCACACATTGGCACAGCATTGTTTGTAAATAACATGACTATATTGTAAAAACATTACATTTAGTACACTAATATAAATCACTACAATTACTGCATAATTGACTAATATTTACACTACATACATATTTTCCTGCTATGTATAGGCATCATGGGTGACACTTATGGGTCACTGGTACAGCCAAATATCAGCTGAGATTTGAAATGGTGGCGAGAAAAACAGAAAACATCAGATGATGCACGGAGCATTTCATTAGGGAAACATCATATGATGTGAGGAGCATTGAGAGGGTTAAGCACTTAAGCATTGAAATACTTGTTAGAAAGTAGTTGTGAATGTGTTCTTAGTCTTCTCATTACTTGTAGAAAGTAGTCACAAATGTATTTTTAGTTTTAAAATTACAGCTAAAGTAGCTTTGAATGTGTTCTTAGTCTTCTCATTACTGGTAGAAAGTAGTTGAGAATGTTTTAATCTTCACAATATTAAAATTCTGTAATAACTTCTACCAGAAGAGCTGAAAATTGCTGTGAATTTTCTAAAATCTGTAATTGTGAATATATTAGTTGTTTTGTTTTACTATTTACAATTTCTTTCCATATTAAAAAATAGGCTATAAAGATGTTTTTTTTTAGGTTTCTTTGGATCAGTTGGGTGAGGTAGTACTCCAAGACACCTTTCAAGTTCTTGAAGCCAAGTCCTTGATCCGCAAAGGTCGAGAGCGTCACATCTTCCTTTTTGAACTTTATCTGTTATTTAGTAAAGAGGCAAAGGATTCAAGTGGAAAAGCCAAGTACCTCTACAAACATAAACTTTTGGTAAGAAGATTTTGGTAATTAAAATTCTATAACTTGGTGTTTAAAACTAGATTCAGAACAATTTATGTTTGATAGTGTTCAAAATATAACACACTTTTTAAGTTCTATTAAATTACGTATTCAGATTTAATGTGTTTAAAATTATACTTAATTGCTCAATGAATATCTGTTAAGATTTCTGAACCTGATAAGTTATTTGATTATAACCGTGGGAAGATTGCTTTATTGAAGATAAAGAAAAATATTAAACCTATGTTGTATATTGATACTTGTTATTATCAGAAGATCATATCTTAAAAGAATGAAAAGTGTAAGAAGCCTGTGTCATGCAGTAATAAGTAATAATATTGATCACATTCACAGGGTTATATGGTAAAAAAAGAATAAACGACCTTATAACACTAAATTGTTGTTTTTATTTAATTTGACACTTAATGTTTCTGTTTTACAGCTTCTTCAGGAGCATTCTGCTAAAACACAAACCAAAATTGACAGTACAGAGCTTTTACTGGCAATTTTGGTTTAAGCGGAACACTCCTGAAAGAGCTGTAAAGTAAAATGTTGAGTGTCTAATTAAATAAAAACAACAATTTGGTGTTATAAGGTCGTTTATTTCTAGTATCACAATCTCTTTAATACATCAATATGCACTACATAAATTTATAAAAAGAACCTGTTTTTATTCCATCACTTGATGATAATGTTCATGTATTGAAATGAAAGAAAATATGTTAAAGTTGTGTTGTACAATGGCAATTGTTACCAGTGATTAGATGAATAAAACACATAGTGACCTTATTTTGTACAGGATGTCTAGAAATTATGTTTGCAGATTGATTAACGTGTATTTCTGAATATGTTAAAACTGTTGTTTGGCCTATATTATTGCCATGATATTCACTATATGCTGCAGTGTACCTCCAATAGGTCTAACAGAATTCATGTAGTCATTAGAGCAAAGCAATCTGCCCATAGATTTGGCATTGATTATATCAATCTGTAATACAACACAAGCACAAAACTGAGCAGAAACAGATCCATCATTACCTGGTGGCTTTGCCTTTTTCGCATTTCATCGGTTTTATGTCAGTAGAATTATCTATAACACAAGTGTGAAAATATTGTGGTTATTTCAGACAATAACATTAGTTTTTGGAGGTTCTCCTATTCATATGCCAGGGCACTGTAGCCTCCATCTCTTAAACACAAGTACACAGTTTTATTAAAATAATATCTGGACATTTCTGTTGTAAGATATTTTTTAATGTTTTGTTCTTACAACTTTTTCTTATTTCTAAGATGTTTGATATTTCCTATCAAAAAGTTGTGTATATAGTTTTAACAATAAAATCTACATAAGAATCTAACTTTTCAGACATCTGAGATAGGAATCACTGAACATGTGGAAGGTGATGAATGTAAGTTTGCTGTATGGACTGGCAGAGCTCCACTAGCAGAGTACAAAATTGTACTGAAGGTAATTCTTTTATTGGAGTTTAGGTTTTCTTTCTAGTCAAAGTCAACCATTAATTAAGGATATTACTCTTAAATATTTTTTTAACTACCTTTGTGTGAAATGATTGAGAACAAGCAATAATTTAACTATTTTGCAAAATTAGCAAAGAAAAAGCAAGTAAAATAAGGTTTTATATTGACATTTTTCTTTTACTTTTTGATTATTTTAAGGCTGGATCCCTGGACATAAAACAAACTTGGGTGAAAAAATTACGAGAAGTGATTCAAGAAACATATTTTAGCAGTGCTTTAACGGCTTTAAACCTCCCCAAATCTCCTGTCAAACTGACATCAAAGTCTAACAGATCCAGCAGGTTGGTGATTTTTGTCTCCTTAATTCTCATATCAAAAACTAATATTTTCAGCAAGCTAGTGCATTGTAGTGTTGATTTTGTGTTAGCTTTCTGAATTTTCTTGTTAAACAAATACCAAGGAGTAAAAGATGTAACAAATGAATAGCTTTTACTTTGTAGAGGTAAATCTTCCTATTAGATCTCTTACTGATCTGATTTCAAAGACTAACAAATTCAACAAGTAGCTTTTGATTTTCTGTTAATTTACTTTCCTCAATTCATTTTGAAACTTACCTCAGAAAATAAAAAACAGCAGATTAATAGCTTTTGATTTTATTAAATTATTCTGTCTCAGATCTGTTCTCAAGCTAACATCAGAGTTTACCAGGTTAATAACTCTGACACTGTTTGATTTGTTAAATTGACATCAAGATCTAAAAGATTTAAAAATAACATAAAAAGGCAAATGTGGCTACATCTGGGTAATATCTTTAAATATCAAAAAAATCGTATTTGGGACATAAGGTGTTTTTAAATTCATTAGAAGGGGAACTTTTGGGTTGGTGAAGGACTAGAGTATAAAATGAGATAGTGTACATACACTGATATCTTGATAATACAGAGAAACTTCCTGCTTGGCTGAGCACCCACTGGAGTAGTGAATAGTCAAGAGTAAGCTTGTGCATGATGAGAAAGCAAGCACTTAGGAAGAAAGAATTCAGTAAAAAAATGAGTTTTTTACCTTTGGTCATTATGTAGAAAATGAGAGAAATTGTGTCTTCAGCACCTTGTTTTGAATACTGTTCATTATGTGGGAAGTGAAAAAAAAGTTGATTTTCAGCATTTATTTGTTTCTAACAAATGATCAAACAAATGATCTTTAAATTTTTTTTTCAAATTGGTGGCAGGCTTGACCTTCATAAATAGCAGCTTGCTAAAGAAAGAAAATACAGAATATGAAGTAAAAGTAACATTACCTTTAACGTGAGGGTTACCTGACAGTTCTATAATAGAATCTATGATACAAATCCGATTATGATCTAAGGAAATTGACTGATGGAAAAAAAAGTCAAAATAATTGAGATTCTAATCTCATTGTGTTTTGAATGAAGATAATGCTTAAGGTGTTATTATTATATTTTATTTAAGATGTTAAAGGAGAATGTGGTAAAATATTTATAAGTATGATATCTTTATGTGGTGGTTGTTCCTGACAAACTTAAAAACTCCAACAGTTTTCTTAATGGTTCTGCTCATCCCTCGTACATAAAATTTTTATTCTGTGTGTTACAGACTTTATTTTTATCAAACATGACTTTTTTAAGTATACATGGGTTTCAATATTTTGACCATGGATAATTCTGTACATTTAAAAACTTTCCAACTAACATAAAAGAGTGGATTTAAACATCTGTTTCACACATCGTAAAACAACAAAGTACATCAATTACATCAAGATATTCAGCAGGATCTGGTTTATATATTTTTTTATGATCACATGAGAACAACAAACTTCTGGAAAAGATAACCAAACTGTCTATTGTTTAATGCTCAGGATCAGTACGTAAAGACATTAACAAATCAGTTAAAAACAAGTTTTGATTGGAGAAAAATGTGGCTTTGAAAATTGGAAAAGATGAAGTATACATACATTTCTTTCCAAAAATATACCTGGAAAATTTTGCTCTCAGTGCACATGGATATGTTCCACTTCAAGACTACATAATGATCCAACACCTTGTAAAAGGACTGATGATCCTCAAATCAAATTACAGGGACTTTTAGGAAAAAAAAAGAATAAAATATACAGAATGAAAGGAGTTTAATCTCCCTCTGGTGTTTAAACCCATTATTGTATTTTTAATCATACATTCAGTTGGGTTTATATGACTGTAACCTAGCTGATGTGTATAAAACCTAATAAATTGTGGATAAATCATGAACATCAGGTTGTTGCATGGTAGTTTTTATCAAATTATCCCCTCTCTCTCTTTACACCAAAGTTTGCTATGAACAACTTTTCAGAAACTTTATTTCTAAAGAGTTGTATGTCTGGTTTATGCAGTTTATACAAGGACTTCAAAGACTGTAGTCTTGCCCCATTTTGAAAAATTATTCACCTTATTCTCATTATGGAAAAGTCCAGTCCATAAGGGAAAAAAAACCCTCAACTGTCTATTTTAAAACATAAGCTGATTCCAATGCTAGAAATGGAGGTCTCTACATTGAAAAGTAGTAGAGTTATATGAAAAGGGGGAACTTAGGTAGAAGATACTGGATGTGATGAGAAAATTCATTCTGAACATTTTCATGTTTGCAACATGTAGCTACAAAGACAACATCAGGTGGACATTCTGAAAAATCTTAATATATACCTTCTGTCTAACCTTCAGGTATTTTATCATAAATTGACTGAATTTTCTAGAGTTTTCTGTAAGAAAAACCTTTTGAATCTAAAAGCATTTTAGCATAAGACTTTTTAGATGTTGAAGTTTACTCTTAGTGGGTATCCCATTAACTAAAACAGTACTAATGTAATAGTTCTGGTTATCTATGTTCTTGAATGCTTTAGGCTTCAATGGGCCTTTTTTTTTTTACAACAAATTACTGGGATTACTAAAAAAAAAGTTAGTTCCAAGTTATGGCTACATACTTGGATCTTGAGTAGAATATTTGTCTTGACTTTTTTTTTCTATCCAACAGAATTTTATAATCATTAACCCATAGAAATTTTCAGTGTTACATCTCGCAGTTATAAAAGTCTTGATTATTGTATCAACAATGTAAAAAATACCATAACTTATTCTTTCATGTCATAGAAGCTTCCACTTCAAGCATTGGAATCATTAACTCGGGAATTCTTATATTTATCATCTGTATTGTGGAAACTTATTCTGTTCTCACAAGATTTATATTTAGAAAGGTTATATAGCAGGAATGAAGGCTTTACCCAACTTGCTGATGGATATTTCAGTTTTTTTTGTTTTCTTTCCATAAATTGAAAGTACCCTGACTGCATTATCCAGAGAGATATTAGTCATGAGAAATTGATTACAAGAACATTCCTTTCAACCTGCAATTCAAATTAGACAAAAACAGTCAAAACTATTTATTCTGACTCTCAACCAATTTTTTCGGCAAACTGCTAGCATTAGCAGTAATAAATACAACACTATAGCTGATGATCCTAAACTTGATATTTTGCAAACTGGCCAATTTTTCAGAGGATTCTACTTCTAAAAAGTCTAGTTTATGCAGATTATACAATAATTTCAAAGACTGTACCCCACGTTTTGATGAATTATCTAACTTTTAAGAAGGGTAGATTACCTTATCTACATTTTCTAGAAGTTCAGTAATAACACAGGCCTGTGAACTTAAACTTCATAAAAGTTGTTTTGGTTTTAATAACTGATTTTTCATAATTCAACTACACAGATTTCGAAAATAATATTAATTTTTTTCTATCACATAAGGATTTGTTTACAATTCGGGAAGAAAGAAAAAAACTTTTACTTAGATCAGATTATTATTTCATTTACCACAATGAACATTTTTTATTATTATGTTTCATAACAAAAATACAAACAAATTGAAGTAAAGGGAAGAACACTGATGTCAAATGAATATGCATACTCATTCATCCTGATTTTTTTCTTTCTGAAATCTGTGTCTTTTATTCTTAAAATTATGTTTTGTGGTCTTTCTTTTATATATTGTGTTATGAGGTTTTTTGAAAAATCCGTACGTAATGGAGAAAAATGGATATCATTTTCAAATTTAGCATACAGGCATTACTGTAGATCATGGAAATATTTCAAGACAATATAACCATCACAGGCCTGTGTAATAATAGATACATAACCTTCAGTTCACAAGGCAAACAAAGACATTTATTCTTACCCACAACTGTCTCTTTCCACTTCTGTTCTGTTAGTTCCTTTTTTTTTAGTCAGTCTAATGGCTTATTTTATTTAGAACTAAAAGGTCTTTTACTTATGTATTTAGTTTTTAATATTTATGTATTTAGGTACTTATGTATTTAGTTTTTAATATTTATGTATTTAGGTTCTTATGTATTTAGGTACTTATGTATTTTATGTATTTAGGTACTTATGTATTTAGTTTTTAATATTTATGTATTTAGGTTCTTATGTATTTAGGTACTTATGTATTTTATGTATTTAGGTACTTATGTATTTTATGTATTTAGGTACTTATGTATTTGGTTTTAAATGCAAACTTTATATTTTTATAAATTCCAATTCCTTATTTTACATTTTTTATTTTCTCTGTTTTATCACTCACATTTTTACCCTTGCTGTTTCTCCTTTTTTTCTTGGATCTGAAATATTTAGAATGTTTTTTTTTAATCTTTAGGGCCTGTATAATTTCAATGTATTTACATTTTTCAACATCCTATTAGTTAGTAAAAAACACAGTAAACAGAACAAACTGTTAGAAGTCTGATAAATTGGCCCGGCATGGCCAGGTGGTTAAGGCACTTGACTCGCAATCAGAGGGTCGCGGGTTCGAATCCCTGTCACACCAAACATGCTCGCCCTTTCAGCCGTGGGGCGTTATAATGTGACGGTCAATCCCACTATTCGTTGGTAAAAGAGTAGCCCAAGAGTTGGCGGTGGGTGGTGATGACTAGCTGCCTTCCCTCTAGTCTTACACTGCTAAATTAGGGACGGCTAGCGCAGATAGCCCTCGTGTAGCTTTGCGCGAAATTCAAAAACAAAACAAAACAAAGTCTGATATCAGACTTCTGACAGTTTGTTCCATTTACTGTGGTTTTTTGCTAATTGCTACACAATACTGAGTTCTCTTATTATCCTATTAGTTACTCACAATCCAGAAAGTTATTTCAGTATAAAAATTTACATATCTTTCTTCTCTCAGATCCCAATGAAGTCTGCCCATAAATGTCAAGAGTTTTGTTTTTTGCAATAGATTTAACATGTTACAGGTTTAAGTAACTATATCATCTTCAATTTTCTGTCATACTGAAATCAAATTCAAGATTATCAATTATATTTGTCAGTAGACCATACATAGTATGGTGTTTATTGTATTTTCTAACCCTACATTCTTTATTTGGTTCCATAATAGAATAACATTTATAAATATACAAGGTTGTTATGAAGTTAATTGGTCTTTTCTAACATCCATGATTCAAGAAGTAATCATCAGAAAGATGTGATAGTTGGTTGATGAACTAATGAGAAGATAGGAATAGCAAAAATAATTATCACCAGAATTGCTGGCCATGTAGTTTGCACAGTCAACGTGTTACTAATGTTTGATGTGGCCAACATTCATGTCCCCTATTACTTGTGTTCGTGAGTAAAGGTGATATGCACCTGAATGACACTGTGTAATTTCCAGCACTTATATCATACTTGGTGTTTTATGTTCTTCTTTCTTTCAAGGTTTTAACATGTTATGGTAAAATGATGACTTAGGTGGCTTCATAGCCCACACTGTGTGTGTGTGGAATATGGCTGCTGATTGCTTGATCTCTGAAAGCATGTTATAGTAGTGTCTTTATAGTTTGTACAGTGTGAGGTGGAGAACTATGTTGCATGCAGAATGTTTATTCAAAGTACATATTCCCTGAAGTGAAGGAATGATACCATGTTCCAACATTGGTCAGTAGTTTTCACTGTCATAAATCTGTCGTTTGTAAGTTCCTCAAAAAAATGAGGCCAAATGATGAACTTGCTCCCGAATACAACTCATACTGCACCTACTCATCATTCAGTTGCCATTGCACAAAGGTATGTGAATTTCTTTTTCCTCAGATTACACAGTTGCAGGTGTTGATCTGGCCATACAGAGTAAAAGTGAACCTCACCAGTTCATAATAGCTTGTCTAGATAAGTGTTGATGATTTCTATTCAAACCAGATATCATAGTGCATAGTCTGACTATTATTTTGCATCTCTTAGTAGCAGTTCATGGCATCATTACATGTTGCATTAGCACCAAACCATGTTTTTATCAGCTTCCGGTAAGCCTCATTATTGTATGATTCTCATCATTCTTCATTTTCTTGTCAACAGAATCTTCGTGTTGCACTGGTATTATTGTCATTGTTTTAATACTACTTTGAAAGTAAAATTCTAACATTCAAATACAATGTGTTAAGTACCATTTTTCTAGAAGCAGATATATAGTTCCCAGTGTGCAGGTTTCATGGTCAGGCTCCCCGATGACCATTATTTTTGTCACTGGAATTGTCCCTTCATCTCATTACTTATTCTACCTGATATTAAACTTTTCTGTTGATTAGTTTTGAGTTATGGAGTTATAGACCAACTAATTATAATAACACCTTGTATATTTACACATACATACATGTATATATTTGGCAATTAGTTCATTTTAATACTGTATTAGTAAACCTTCATATCAAATTTACATCAATGCCTAATGGGTCTAAATAAATTTTCATAATTTACTAGTAAACCTTCCTACTTATTGTATGAAACTTAAGTTCAGTGATTTATAGATCTAGGATATATTTTGACATTTTATAAGTAAATCATCCTGTTTCTCTTATCAAACTAATATCAATGTCTAATAGATCTAGAGTCAATTTGTTTTTGTTTTTTAAGTAAGCAAGCAAGCCTTCCTTCTTCTTCTGTGAAATTTATACATCAAGAATTAATAGATCTAAAGTAGCTCATGGGTTTATGTAAATAATCTCTCTAATTGTTCTGTCAAACTGACATTGGTGTGACATATTACAAAAGCTATTTATAAGGAAGTTTTCTAAAACAACTAGTTCTTTACAATCAGAGACATGGGTGATTCTTCTATGGATGAAGGTAGTGCTGATCAACAAGAGCGAGGGTCGGTAGCCTCTTTCGGCTCCAGCAACACAACTGACAGTGAAAAGGTGGGCTGGATTTAATTCAATGTTTATTTGCTGATTTCATACAAAAAATATCTTACTAAGCTGAAATTATATACAAAAAACTGTGATTCTTATTTTCACAGTAATACTGTAATTCGGATGGCATATCATGTTTTTATACTAAAATTGTAACAGTGGGTAAACTACATGATTTTCAGAGAATCATGTATGACAGTAGTTAAAGCTTCTGATTTTCACAGTAATTTTTAAACAGTTGGTGGTGTATCCAATTTTTGTTTTAAAACTTAAAACAGTAGGTAAACTATCTGGTTTCCATAAGAAAGCTAACTGTATGCTAAAGTTTACTATCACCATTACAAAACTGTAGAAGTAAGCAGAGTTTGTGATTTGTGCAGGGTAAACTTAAAATGGTACATGAAGTGTGATTTTTAATGTGTAACTAAAACAGTGTGTAAAATTTCTAAGTTTTATTGTGAAACTCGTATTAATAATTGGTGAAATGTATGATTTTCTCATAGTAAAACAAATAATGTATAACTGTTTGAAAAAGTAGCCAAGTATCTGGTTTTCATAGTAAAAATGATAGCATAACTTAATTTGTATAATTTTGTATACTAAAGCTGAAACAGTGAATAAAATATTGAATATTCTTGTTAAACCTGTATTATAAGGAGTAATATAAAGATGTTATTTATAAGGTAAACTTACCCTGACTCTGAATTTCAGTAACATACTGTTGCTTCTATATCGTTTGCTTTGTGTTTAAATAAAGTAATAGTAGTTTTATTTTCGTTAATTCCCTAGTATGTAGATGAATTTGGTTTCTGTTTTAAATCTGTTACAGTTGTAGAGATTATTTTATCCTGGTTATCGTATCATCTCTTGTTTATGTCTGGCCACCACTAAAACTGTTGACTTAGTAACATGATATCTCAGGAAGGCCAGACTGAGGTAGTATGTCAGCTAAAAACAAATAGATAATGTACTTATTCACTATGGAGCAAATACAAATGACAGTTTTGTTATCGGTTGGGACATATGAATAGTAAAGTCGTTATACCTAAGTGGTTCTCTTGAGTTCAAAATACAAAAAGTGTTCTACTATAATGAGCGTTTTTAAGACTGTACAACTACAGCATAACCGTATTGTTTAGAAATGTCCGTACAAATAATTTGTGATGATTACGATGTAATATGAAAAGTTTGTTGTTTATACTCAGAGATTCTAAAAACTAAACGAACAGATATATGAAAAACATGTTGAATTTCAGGTTGTGTTAGTAAGTTCACATCTTGCTGAAGACAAATACAGTGTATATTCCATATTTTGTGATTCAGATCTGTTGAGTAATACACTTGTCTATTGTTGAACTTCGGATCTTGCTCAAGACGTACTGTGTTTTTAATAATATAATTTTGAGTTTCAAAACATGCTAATAACATGTGTAATGTATTGTTGAGTTTCATAAAATTCTAATAATACTTAGTAAGAGTATTTTGTAATGTGGAGTTTGAGGACATACCAGTGACATGACTTAGTAACATAAATAATGTATTGTTGAGTTTCAGACAATGATAGTAACACTTAATAATAGGCCTACTGTATTGTTGACTTTCATATCATTTTAGTTGATTTTAGCAATTGCTATAGTGTAGTGTTTAATTTGTGAACACTTTTTGACATTCAGTAAAAACTTAAGTGCCTTTTTTATTTTAGGGACACACTAATTTAGTTAGAGATTAAAATGCTAGTAGTAATTAATGAATGTATGTATACTACTGCTGATGTGTTTGTTTGAAGAGGTGAAAAGAGAGGTTGGTTAGAATTCAACCAGGAAACTCAGCATTGTTTGCTAGTCATATAATTCAACCAAGCTGCTGCATTTCAACGTCAAAGTATCAGTTTTCTTTTCATTGATTGTTTATGATGGAACTTAGCGGGACGTTTTAGCTATGCCACTTAACTTTCAGAATTTAGAGCCTGTGTAAAATGGAGAAAAGGTCCGCCTTCCTGTCGTGGCAAATAGATGAAAATTGGAAGAAATAGAAGCAATTTCCTTAAACAGGGGAAGCGATCAGTGAGAAAATGACTGCAATTTCTTATCTGTTGAGCAGGAAAGTTAAACTTTCAACACATGGTACCAATTTCCTGTCATATTAAGTAAGAGGGAAGAAATGGAAGGATAATTACAATTTTACTGTTACACTGAGCAACAAATTAAAAAACTGGAAATAGCTACCATTTTCCGTGATGTAAAGTAGTTGAGATTAGAATAGGAAAACCAGGTATAAATTTTCTGCGGTATTTAGCTGGGATGGTGAAGTTATTGAGGAAAAGATACACTTTTCTACTTTTCAGTTGTACTGAGTATGGGGTGGGGGTTAAACTTGAAGAAATATAATCAACTTTATTGATCAATGGAAATAATACTGAGAAATTTCTAAGATGGTAGACGATTCTGAAATATTTAAAGGTCTAGTGACGACCGTATTTAGGTTTTGCCTGTCCCTATTCAAGAGCACCTCCCCCCTTCTCCCCGTAACATCCTAACATAAAACATAATATAGTATTATCATCAATATCGCCCCCCAGTGGCACAGCGGTATGTCTGCAGACTTACAATGCTAGAAACTGGGTTTCGATACCCGTAGTGGGCAGAGCACAGATAGTCCATTGTGTAGCTTTGTGCTGAATTTCAAACAAACAAACAAAAATCATCATCATTATCATTTCTTTTGTTTCACTTTTTGCTCTCTTTTTTTCCCCCTTAAAAGCTATGCGCTTATTTTAAAATAAGTGTAAACTCACGCTGCGCAGGCGCGGAGCTCTAAGCAGCTACCTAATTCAGTCATGGATGAAAGTTCTTTAAAAACATTTCTGGATAAGTCCATTAAGAGTAGTTCATCAGATGTATTTATTTATCTAGACTTTTAGAGAGTCTGCAGAATAAAAAATAATAATGTTATTATTTTACTTCACAAATTAAAGCATAAAAACACTAAAATTTCAAAATTCTGAAATAAAAAATGCCAAAATTCTACGCAGGAAACTTGGCCTAAATAGTATAAAAGTGTGGATTCCTAAGAATGAAAGTTGTGTCGTAAAGTTATACTTTCTTGTCGCATGTTGTGTCATTATGTAGTAATTCAAGCAACACGTTGCGATGTTAAAATTTTGTGAAATGGTTATTTCTAAACACAGGCTGAACCTAAATTTGAATTTTTTTTAACTTCATGTTACTTTTTGTCGCAAGGTTGGTATTCCTAGCTACTTGTTACAGTTTAAAAAAATTATGAAGTTCTTTATATATATGGTTTCAGTCATATTATAAAGCCGGTATTAATAGATTCACTCAACTTTTTTTTCTGGTTTCAGTCATATTATAAAGCCGGTATTAATAGATTCACTCTACTTTTTCTTTCTAGTTTCGGTCATATAAAGCCGGTATTAATAGATTCACTCTACTTTTTCTAGTTTCATTCATATTATAAAGCTGGTATTAATAGATTCACTCTACTTTTTTTTCTGGATTCAGCCATATTATAAAGCCGATATTAATAGATTCACTCAACTTTTTTTTCTGGTTTCAGTCATATTATAAAGCCGGTATTAATAGATTCACTCTACTTTTTTTCTGAATTCAGCCATATTATAAAGCTGGTATTAATAGATTCACTCTACTTTTTTTCTGGATTCAACCATATTATAAAACCGGTATTAATAGATTCACTCTACTTTTTTCTGGTTTCAGTCATATTATAAAGCCGGTATTAATAGATTCACTCTACTTTTTTTTCTGGATTCAGCCATATTATAAAGCTGGTATTAATAGATTCACTCTACTTTTTTTTCTGGATTCAGCCATATTATAAAGCCGGTATTAATAGATTCACTCAACTTTTTTTTCTGGTTTCAGTCATATTATAAAGCCGGTATTAATAGATTCACTCTACTTTTTTTTCGTGAAAATTATATGTTCAGCTTCATGTTGCAGTGGGCTTTTGGATCAGAAGATTCTATTTTGTAACTGTGACCTTCTCATAAAGGATAAGGCGTTGTTCTAGCTTCACTTAATGTGTGGTTTCGAACCAATTTGCTGCCTTAAATGTTCTGCTGTGCGACTTCTTCAATTTCCTTGGAGAATATTGAAGTATCCTCTTTCCCAAATGTTTTACTCATTGGTTCTTTATCTTTAGCAGCTCTTTGTATAAATATTTTATAAGTCTATCCATTGCGTTAGCACTGTTGAAGGATTTACTGTATCGGCGATGCACCAGACAGGTACAATCAGGGATTGAGAAATTAACTCAACGGTAATTCTAAAGACCTATGAGTGAAAGAAAAGAAGAATATGATATGTGTTAACTACACTTGAAATACACTTTTCACACAATACCAGGGCTTATCAAGTCAGCTGGGACACGATAGAGTAGTAGTCTAGGCGTTATACACACACACAAAACAAAAACAACATTATAATGAGACCAAACTTCAGAATTATTCTTCCACTACCACTCCTCGTTGTCATCCTTAAGTCATAATGGATGACAACGAGGACAGGTAATGGAAGAATAATTCTGTATTTCGGTCTCATTATAATGTTGTTTTTGTATTAAGTTCATTATTCTTTAATAGTGTTGATTTTAATCGCTTATGGACAATTAATGTGCTTAATCGTATTAGATGTATTGATATATATATATATATATATATATGTTATTTAACAACAATTGTTACGGTCTATTATATACTTGATGATACTATTAAAGTAAAGCTACTTCAGTTAATTTTTATACAGTAAAGTGAGCTGGTACGTCACCTTAAGGCCATTTTTAATAGCAGATATGTGACGATAATTAATAGAATATGACAGAGATAAATTACATTGTACATGTGATTTTATGAATTGTGTGTATTGCCGTCTTTAAGTCATGATTAATGAATTAAGTAGTCTGTTTTTGAGTATTCCGTTAATGGTTGAGATTGACACTAAACAGCATTGTTTATTGCCGTCTTTAAGTCATCATTAATGAATTAAGTAGTCTGTCTTTGAGTATTCCGTTAATGGTTGAGATTGACACTAAACAGCATTTTATTGCCGTCTTTAAGTCATCATTTAATGAATTAAGTAGTCTGTCTTTGAGTATTCCGTTAATGGTTGAGATTGACAATAAATAGCATAAAAATTTGTTTCTTAACGTCATGACATAAACGTAACCATCAATTAGATCAATTATTTTTCCTTTACTAAAATTATTATAGACCGTTATCTATTAATGGATTCGAGGATCGACCCCCTATTGAGGCTGTTGGTGTTAATCCAAGAGATGGCAGTAATTAATCGTATAATCTCTAATATCTTGTTTATAATTTGAGAATACAACAGTAGCATTTCCATTTAGAACGGTTCTTAAACTATGGAGGATCAGCTAATTGTATCTTATTATAAATTTGAAGAAAAAACTGTCCGAAATCATCAATGGTAATCTTAATTAACCTGAAATTCCAATATAAATTATATTCGGGTTAAGTCAGCTAAATAGGTTTTCTTTCTTTTTTTCCGAAACATAATAGTAATAAGCAGATGTTACTGTTTAGCCCTAACTTGTGAAGATGGATGTAGCTAAATACTCTCTTAGGTTTGGTTTAGCGTAGTGAGTGTCATCACAAGTTATTTCTAGAATCTAGAAGATCTGAAGTAGATAACATCTGTTGCAGTGTTGTTAACTTCAAGTAGCTTTGTGTAAAGACACTTTGAGTAGTTTTAAAAAAGTATGGTTAAAGATAGCTGTGGTAATTTCGATTAAACATGTTGTAAAGCCACTGATTAGTTTCAAGTAAGCATAGCCAAAGACAGCTTTGCTAAATTTAAGTTAATAGGTTGTAAAGACAGAAGACAGTGTAATTAGTTTCAAGTAAGTTTGGTTAAAGACAACTTTGTTAATTTTAAATTGTAAAGACAGAAGACAGTCTAATTAGTTTCAAGTAATTTTTGTTAACGACAGCTTTGTTAAATTTGACATGTTGTAAAGACATGGAAGACAGTGTAATTAGTTTCAGGTAAGTTTGGTTGAAGACAACTTTGTTAATTTCAAATTGTAAAGATAGGAGACAGTGTAATTAGTTTCAAGTAAGTTTGGTTGAAGACAACTTTGTTAATTTTAAATTGTAAAGTTAGGAGACAGTCTAATTAGTTTCAAGTAAGTTTTGTTAAAGCCAGCTTTATAAGTTTTAAATGAACGTATTGTAAGATAGTTTTGATTAGTTTCAGATAGGTATGATAAAATAAGCTTTGTTGATTTGATTTTGTTTCAAAAAGACATTGATTAGTTTAATTAAGTTTGTGTAAAGACTGTATAATTATTTTGAGCGATTTTATATTTAAATGGAGAAAAAACACGAAACTTACTTCGAAGTAATCAGATTCTGCTTGAAAAACGATTGTGTGAAGATTAGTGATGAGACATGATGATTAATTTTAAGTCAACTTGGTGTAAAAAAGAATGATTAGTTTTCAAGTATTCTTAGTATGAAGGCAGCTTAATTATCTTTTTAAGTAAGTTTTTGTAAGCATCTTGTAAAATGATTAAACACTGATTATACTGTTGATTGTTAGTTATTACACGTGACTTTTCAGAAACGTTATTTAAAACGTATGGCAAGGTCAGCTTTTTGGCACTATTGTTTAGTACGAGTTAGTGTTTTACTGAACGCTATTTAACATGTGAGCATGGATACTATAGTTGAATAGGGTTAAAACCAAACGACGGAACACTATATAACACGATAGACGGTCAGCTATTGTTAAATACGAGTTACTAACACGTGACTTTCACCGAAAACAATTTAACATGTGATACTCGGTCAGCTTAACTGTGTTATTAGCACGTGATTCGCTGCACTTTTCGTAGTGAGTAATTAACACACGACCGGCTATATTGCTTGTGTAATTTTTAGTGCAGTCAAACATTGTTAGTTAAGAATTAGTTACACTTTCCCTAAGAGAAATTTTCATCTGGAACAATGTCAGAATATCTTTATTTTTTGGTTGTGATTTATTACCATATGTCATTTCTTAAGCGATATTTAACATTTGCCATAATAGTCTTAGAGAATTGTTAACTTTTGTGGTCGCGAGTTATTTTCACGGTATGCACTCTAAACATTACTTAAAATTTGCTGTAATATTAGCAGTATTGATAAGTTGTGAATTCTTAGCACGTGACTCTGTTATTCAGTGTCACTTTGGAACATCGGTAATACTGTTGGTTGTGAGAGTGATAACTCGTGAATTTCTCTAAGTAGGCCATTAGTAACACTAGCAGAAATACCCGCCCTCCGGGCAGTTATAACTGTTAGTTCTTGCGGCCTTTTCTGTAATTGTCTGACAGTTCTACAACAATGTACTCATACTTCACATTCAATAATGTTCACCATCCATGAGAAAAAGGATTTTATTGACATTTTAGTTTAAAAATGAGCCATCATCACAGCATTACATCACAGAGTAGATTTTATTGAAGTACTTCTTTGTATACGTAGTTATCAATGAAAGTGTCTTACTTTTCTACTGCAACACTCATGAGATTTTCACAAAAGAAAAACAAATATTTTTTTAAGTTTGTTTTTTGATTGTTTTATATTTGAAACATACTCCTTTTTGTTTGTAATTTTTATTAGTTAAATCTGAAACATATCATTTTTATGGAAATTTTAATTGTTTTGTTTATTGCTCAGCTATAAAAATACTGCCTAGTTATAAAAATATTACCCAGTTATGATTGGTGATGATCGGTGCGGTGGTTTCCGAGATCAGAGTTTTGGACGTATACATCGCAAGCTCTATTATAATAGATATATTGCTAAAAGGATAAAAAAAAACGTATTATAAATCACCAAGTTTTAACTCAATACTAGAATATCATGTATGTAAAACACTCATTTGACACACTTTATTTTGGCTTCAATCTTACACGCATAAATCATTTTGTAAATGTAATTAAAGTGTTACATACGTAGTACACACAATGTTGTACGTTATTTGTACCTAGCACAATATGAATGTTGTACAGCCTTAATTTGCGGCATGTCTGGTACTCTCATAGTTTAGCGTCATCTTTATCTGACTTTTATACTTGAAGCTTTACCCATTGAAAAGACTACCTGTTTTAAAAAGAGAAATAAGATTTATTTGCATCTTGCTTTGGTAAAGTTTCGTGACTACATTGTCACCGCATGCTCCTCTTTTGGTGACTACAGGTGGCAGCTGTAACGTTGTCCATGTATGTAGGCCTATCACAGCTCTTGACGTCAGTAATCTTTCTATAAATATAGTTCTCAACCGCTGTCGTTACAAAGGATAAAAAGAAGCAGCAAAAGTAGCTCCCTTCTTGTCTGAAGGGGCGGAGCCTGTTACTTTTGCTCCACCTACTGACATAATTTATTTGACTCTTGTGGGATAGCAATCAAGGAAAGTTTAGAGCTGATGCTTTCTTTATTACTCCATGGACTATCAGTAACGATATCTATACGTAAGATAAACGTGAGCCGCTGTGAACCGTATTTATGTGTGTTTGGGGTCACGAATCTGTTTATTATGTTGCGTTAGACCTAGTGCTTGCTTTCTGTCTTCAGAAGGTTACACTTTATTACTGATGGACAACTTCCGTAAGTTATAATAGGTTTCAGTAGTTTGTTTTTTAACAACATAATTAGCGAATCATGCGAAAATTTAGTCTCCAGTGGCTTAAAGGATCGTCTTATAGTCCAGCAGACAGTGCTCAGGATAGGAAATCCTTTTCACAGTATGGTCGTGAACGCCATGATTCAACTCCGGTTTTGGAGAATTCCTCACTTTGTGGGTATCACACCGCCTCCACAGATCGTTACCCGACTTACCACGGAGAACGTTCTTATACCCAGTACCTTTCCACCACCCCTGGTGGTGGTATCATTCTGCTAAAGAAGTCCGACAGGCCGAACAAATCCAAGTCCGAAGGGGGCTTTATGGGAAATAATAAGGTGCATATTAATTGAGGCTGTTGTAAAGTTAGTCAACTGTAGATAAAAGTTATTGTTATTTGTTAATCTAAATTTATTTCCTGAAAAATAGTTACTCAGTTTTTAGGAGTAGCATATGTGTTTGTTGCTTTACGTGGTATTTTATCATGTTCTTGCTTTGATGAATTTGTCACCAAAGCTTTCGTTATATCATTTCAAAGGAAGAGTTAAACCAAGTTAGTTCTGGTTTCAAAGTTAATCTACGAACAGTCATGAGTTCATACTTATTCGGCTTTTCAACGCTCTTTACAATCGTTTGTTTTTGTTTCATTTCCATATTTAAAATTCTCGTAAAATTGATTTTTCTGTAGTTCTTTTATGCAATAAGCAAACATTTTAAAAGTACACGACTTAGTTATCATGAGATTTGTATTTTGTGTACTACAAACTGAGTAAGAAATACAGTATTTTTAAGCATTGGAACTACCTCCAGATGTTGACGGGGTTTATTAATTCTCTTTTAAATATTCTGTTGTCAAGGTTACACAGAACCCTTCCTTCTCTTTGTCTATCACACACAAAGTTTTGTTAATTAAAATAAAAACGAAGCACTTAGGATCCGAATGAACTGTCACAGCTCAATTGTTTTTACTACCCTAATTCAAACACACTTCATCTTCATCGGTTTCATTTTTTTAATAAAAAATACTGCCGTACTTGATGTAGCGGACTTATTATGTTTATACAGAAGAGTATTATGTTTCTTTTCAAATGTAGTGTACACCCTTAGTCTGTGTTTTCTTTATAACGTCGTTGACGCCTTTCTAACGCTGTCTACGTACACGTCGTTTCTATTTATGACTTTCCTGCCAGTTGAAAGTCAAGCTTTGTACTTAAGTGTGACGTTTATAAACGAATTTATTTATTTCATGTTAAAACTTCAAACTTATACTGATATATTTTTCATTTTTTCTGTTTTCGGGATCAGTAATGTATCTAATTTAACTTGTATTCCAAAACTTTAAAATATTAGTTTCTTTTTTCTTAAAAGTTCATTTGTTGTCATTTCAGTCTACTTACTAGCCTGAACACCTCCTCGATCTGTCCTGTTCTGACTACATTCCACGGATTATTTTTAATTTGAAGTTTTGATTTAAACTCTCTTAATTTCATCTTGACGTGTATTCTCTTCTTTTTCTTTCTTTTGATTTAAACTATAAACATTTGCAGTGGTGTAGAAAGGAGTTGCAAAGTGGGGGTGCTTGAATAGATATGCAGATTTTATAATGAGAGATTGAAAGTATGAGGAGCTGTTAAAAGCAGCTCCCGTGCTGCCAAAGGCAGCTCAATCTATGGGGGGGGGGGGAGATCTAGGGCATACCCCACACAGAAAATTAATATCTTATATGTATATTGCGAACCGTGGCGTCTGTCCGAGCATTCGTCTGTCTCCCGTTTGAAAATCTGTGCACGCAGGCAAAGCTCAACATTCACTTTTGAAATGACAGGAGAACAAGCGTGAATAATGTTGATGCCAAATTTTATTTAGCAAGCAAGATATTCCACACTAAATTGTTTACAGCTTCTTCAGTGGCATTTACTAAAGCACAAACCGAAACTGACAGTACAAAGCTTCAAAAGCTCCTGAAGAAGCTGTAAAGCGAAATGTTGAGTGTCTAATTAAATAAAAACATTTTGGTGGTATAAGGTCGTCTATTTCTAGTATTAATGTCTTTCATACACCAATATGCACTACAGGAAGTAAATAAGGAATTAATTACACTATCATTCACATTTCAAAACGTGACGTAACTTAAAGAATAAAAATGTAGATTTATGGTATGTTATTGTTGAGTGGCTCTTAGCATGACTGAAATGCTCTTCAATTACTTTTCGTCGGTAGTCGGCATAAGTAGCCCAGAGTTTTGGCTCTGAGTGGAACCAAGAGTGTAACACAATTAACTTTTTAAAGTCAATGAAATTATTTAAATTTATATATTAATTTAAACTTTTCCTGTCATTGGGGACGTGTACTTTTGTTAGATTAACTTAAGCTTTTCCCGTCACTGGGGACGGGTACTTTAGCTTGTAATAATATAATTTACAGTTGCTATATAAATCAAATAAAAGTGGGATGCTAAGGCACTCCCAGTTCCGACGCCTCTGACTTGACAGATTATTTAATCGATTCCGTGAAATTAATTCAAGTTGGTCACGATTTAATTTTCGTATAGTTGTTATTATGTGAGATCTTAGAATTATTTTATTTTCATCCGTGTCATGGGCTTATCTTGATTTGACCTAATTTAGTCAAGTTATTTTAAGTCTCAAATTACCGACTTGCGTTTATACCGTACACTACCGTGGTTTCCAAATATTTAAACAAATTGCGTCATTTTATAACACTGAGTGTACAGAACTGACTAAACAAAGGTGAAATGTCTAGTTTTGAGGTAAAATCATAAATAATTAGAGGGATTAATTTCAAAATTTAGTTTCGATGAACTCTAATGAAGAATGTTATTATTATGTTTATTTGAACAACATTATTTCTGTGGAATTACCATAATATTAACGATTTTTATTTTTCTTGGAATTGTGTACTCTGAATGTTTTCTGAATATTATTTTAATGTAGTATTGGGTTATTGTAAACATAACCACGTGAATTTTATTTATTTTTTTGCTGAATGGTGTTACATGATTCATTTGCTTAACATACTGTCGACGCGGAGGTTCAATTAAATATGGGTACACAGAAACGTACATTAAAGAAATCACTTTTTCCTAAACAGAAGAGGTGATACAGCAGAATTTGTATTTTTTAAATAATGTATTCATTTGCTCCACGTTTTGGGCAGAACGACATAATTGTTTTCCAAACGTTTCAAATAGAACGCCTTTCGTTACATTAATTGTGGTTTGTACTGTTAATGAAGAGGTAATATGGGTTATAATAGACAATATTGATTTTGTATTCTAGTTTTACTAGACGTTTACAATTAAAGATACGAAAATTATGTGATAAATGTGCCCCCCCTCCCGTTTTTTATTTGGTAACGTCTCCACTTGTTCCTTTTAGGGTTCTGGAGAAATCACATGGGTAGTAGAAGGACATGTAGCACCTTCTGGTTCTCAGGAGCTTAGTGTCCGATCTGGCCAACAAGTGGAGCTGCTAGATACTGCAGCCTCGGGTCCCGAATGGTGTATGGTGCGCTTGCAGTCTCCTGGCGGCGAGGGCAGTGGTTCTCCTCAAGAAGGTCTTGTTCCTTCTTCGTGTCTAAAGCCTACTCCAAGCATGCGCAATTCTACCAACACCGTCAATACCGACAACCAAGGTAAGATTTTCTATCATACGTGAGGTAACAAAGCGTGAGAGATTTTTAACATTAAAAATTTAATTAACTGTTTTTTGTTAATATTTGTGTCCTTGCAACAAAAGTTATTTACAAATAGTGTTTATAAGTCATCCTAGAATTGCCCTGAAGCGCTATATGTATGAACATATTCCTGATCAAAAAATGAAATCAGTGTCTGATAATGTGAAATTACAAAATATTGTTTATGCTTGTTTGTACATTTATAATAAGCTCTTAGTAGTTGAAGTACAAGAGTTTCCTGCTGTTATTTTTGAAGATGTATTAATGATACTGGAAGTACATGTGTGTGTGTATAGTTCTGTTAAATATTTAAATCAGGACCCAATTAACACGACATTACACTTTTTTAACTTTATTATATTTACTATACGTTTTTATCAGTAAACTATAGATAAACGTAACTTTGATAACTTGTTTAACTACAAAACCGTTTTGAATTTTCTTGCATTTTTTTGACACTGTGTTTAGAAAGATTGGTCATTTTTATCTTAGTTTGTGTGTGGGTTTCATGTGGTATTTTTTATGTATATTCTAATTTGTTTTGTAAAATCTGCCTCTTAAATCTATAAATGGATCAGTAATATATCTATCTGTGTAAACATCAGTTTTAGTTAGCATGTTCATTAAGTGTGCTAAATGATTGTTACTGTCAGTATACTTATTTCCTGTATACAGCATGTTTGTTACATCTTTATAAACTATTATTTTTGGTAGTATGCTAATTTCATCTCTACAGATGATTGTTGTGTGTTTATGTGTATTCCATTGGAATTAGTTATTATCATTGATAGTGTGTTCAGTGGGAAATTTATTATGTTAATTTCATCTCTTTGAGTTAATGTAATTGGTATTATTTAGCATATCGACGTACTGAGTTAATATAATTGGTATTATTAATACATTGGTGTATTGAGTTAATGTAATTGGTATTATCAACTATACTGACATACTACATTAGTGTAATTGGTATTATTAAGTATATTGACATACTGAGTTAGTGTAATTGGTATTATTAAGTATAGTGACATACTACATTAATGTAATTGGTATTATTAAGTATATTGACATACTGAATTAGTGTAATTGGTATTATTAAGTATACTGACATACTACATTAGTGTAATTGGTATTATTAAGTATATTGACATTCTGAGTTAGTGTAATTGGTATTATGAAGTACTATCTGAATTACCTGTACCCTGCACATGTGTCCAAATTACTTGAAATAGGTATTTAAGAACATAATGAAATTACTTTTAAGAACATTTACTTAAAAAATTCAATTTTCATAACATTTTAATTTTTATATAAACCTTTGATTTTCAAAACAAAAATTACACAGTCTAAGTTAAAGTTTCTTGATATACAACACTGGCTATTGATCCTTCTGACAATATAAACAGGTTTTGATGAGATCTAACTCTTGAACATCCTACATAGAATTGACCATGTGAAAAGCAAGGCTGCTTTAGGAACAATGTAGCAACCTTTAAACTTTGACCTTGTGCCTTATTGAAAAACAAATTGCAACTAGGAATTGGAGCCTTCCAAATTCAAATGGTTAATCATTTGGTAGCAAAGGAATTCTTGGAATGAAAAATCTTCACCTTTGACATGACCAATTGTAATTGTTGCTTCAATAACATTGGCAGTAAAGTCCTAACAACTAAACTTGTGCCATTACATAATTTTGGAGGATCAAGATTTCTCAACAACATTATTGGTGAATCAACCTTTAATTTCAGAATGTGACCTGACATCCTTGGTGGTTCAAGAGAATTTAGGAATATAGTTGGGTGATTTACAGCATCAATTGTAACTGGAGCACTGACAGTTGAGTTGTAGGTGAAATCCTGTCCGGAACCTTTTGCAGTAATTGATCGTTTATGTCATGAATAGTGTCATTTCGAGGTGCAAGAATTGCTCTTTTACACAACCATTAATAATTTTCACAAATATTAGAGAACACCTTTTCCTTTAGCTCTTCTGCATGCTCAACTAAGTTACTACACTTGTCTGGAATAGTAATGTTTGATTGATTGATAACTTTCCAACACGAACTTATGAAACATGTTTCTGAATTAAACCGTTTGCTTTTATATCACCGAAGTTGTTAAAAACAGAGAAAATAAAAATAAACCACAAATTTACGTGAACATTACCGTTCAACATAAAGGACACCGTTGGCCTAACAACAATATCGTGATAGTTTTGTTGCTAAGCGACGATGTATAGTGTTGAGTATTACCAAAAGGAGCGTGACACGAAGACAGAAACTGAATTAAAAGCCAAATATTAGTTTTTGTGTAAACCCTGGTGGGAATTCTACCCCTTCACGTTACTTCTGTGGACCGTAGGAGTCACCATGCCAAGTTTGGTGGTGATTGGTCAAATAGTGTGCCAGAAGTTAGCGGATAAACAAGCATACAATTTCGCTTTTATATATATATATAGATCAGCTAATATAATGAGCTAATGTAATTAATAAATTGATCACATCTGTGTATATAATGAGGTAATCTAATCTCTATTATTATGTTAATTTACATCTACTGTTTGTTAGTTTCTCTGTAACTGCCCTACTTGAGACTTCAGTTGTATTTTTTTAAGTGTTTTGCATTTTTTTAATGTTTACAATAAGCTCAGCACGTTGCTGCGACGTTTAAGCTTATATTGTTTGTTCTGTAAAAACAAAGTTTGAGATGAACGTAACAAAAACTAAGAATTCCACTTTTCACGGGTTAATCCTCTGTGTGTGTGCGCGTTATATATTGTGAACCTTGCCCTCACCAAACCCAGTACAGGTTTATTGCTTCTATCTTAACTTTTTTGTACGATATGTGGCTAGGCTTAAGAAAATTCAAGGTATCACTTATGTGCGGTTAACTTCTTACTCTGATGGACTAACACCAGCCTCTTCAACAAAATATTCGTAAAATATTTCAGTAGTTATTGAAGGAAAACGGAGCATAACATTGTTAGATGTGCAAATGTTGTCACGTGTGCTGTATGTGAAAAATATGCAACATATAACATTTTAGTTAAACTGCAAAAGCACCTACGTGAAAAATATGTGTGCAACACTTTTTCATGTGTATGAAGAATATGCAAATTTGGTCAGTGTACTGTATGAAAATAATAAGTAGCATTGTTGTGGTGCGAAGCATGATTATAATTAATTATACTTGTCATAAGAGATTAGTATTAGGCCAACTATATTTTTAACACCACACTCCTTATTCATTCCCTTGTGGTTTTTCAAGAAAAATGAGTGTATAATAGTATTTCAACCATACTGTGTTCGCAGTATCCATTTCTAACAAGGCCCGGCATGGCCAGGTGGTTAGGGCACTCGACTCGTAATATGAGGGTCGCGGGTTCGAATTCCCGTCACACCAAACATGCTCGCCCTTTCAGCCGTGGGGGCGTTATAATGTGCCGGTCAATCCCACTATTCGTTGATAAAAGAATGGCCCAAGAGTTGGCGGTGGGTGGTGATGACTAGCTGCCTTCCCTCTAGCCTTACACT